GAATTTTAAAGACATAAAGATTATCTAAAGATTGAGTCCATGAGCCATTTATGGGATGCAGTCTTCGTCCTCCTCAGTCGTTTCTCTCCTGAAAAAAGTAACATTATATTATTAACATTGAATATATTCAACTGGTGTTGGATGTAAATTTTTAAGAGATGACTCATGAACAGATTTCTTATTCTAAAGCAGAATCAGAACACCTGGCTTCTTTCAATTTGTTTGTCTATAGGCCTACATATTAGTTTTGATATCTTAGAGAGATAGGCTATGTGCAAATAAATCAAGCATCAACTCTGTAAGGCAAATGAAACATTAGGCTAAGTTTTTACATTTTGCTTTGATGGTGACTGACATCATCTATTAAATCAATCATTAGGTATCAAATTACCTTCCTTCCTACTTGCTAACAATTCGATTTCATGACGGTCTTAGCCAATCTTTTATCACCGTCTCGATGTTTCTTTTTCTTTGGCCTCTGGAAACTGGTTGAAAAACAGCTTCTGTAAGAAATAACAAGAAGTTTGCTATTATTAATAGTAAAGTAGGCTATGTAGCACTAGTAACGTGTCAAAATCTAATCTCAAAACCACCAAAACTTTGAAAAAGGTTTCAGCTTGAAAAGGTTCCATCAGCGAGTTTCTAGATTCAAAACTTTAAATGGGGAAGACAGACAAAAAGAAATTAAACCTTTGACAAGAACTTCATGCACACTTTTTTAACTTTATTCTTTTGCAATCTCATGTAACGGTGATTTGCCGTTGGGAATAAATAAATTTGATTGAATCAAAATCAGCTTAATATATTTCTCAATGCTGTAAAAGGGCCTAAAAATCAACCATATAAAGTTTTCCCAGATCTACTCATGCTTAAATAGGGTACAGTTCACAAAACTTGGCATGGTGCAATAAGGTGCTTCGACAAGCATAACCCACGCACATAAAATGTGCCGCAGCCGATTCCCATTCAATTATCACAAATTTCAAAAGTATGGATACAATAACCAAGCTATGTAGGCTACATACATTTATTAACAACATAAAATTTGTTCTAGCCTAACTTACTTTCAGTTAAGAAGTAAACAGGCCTAGAAAAATCCATACCACTGAAGAAACGTAACAGATTTTGACGCAAATTGGTTAGCTAGAACTTAACTTATATTTACTTATACTTAACTTAACCTAGGATATGTGAAATGTCGCAAAGTTAAGGTAAATTAGAACAAACTGGCTGTCACTGTCAATACCGTATGAATAAATTATTGGTAAGTTATCAGTCGAGAAATGTTACCAATAACTTAATTATAACATAAAATAGGCCTCATCCATAGTGTGACAGTAAATAACAAATTAAGTTATTCTAGGAATTGGTCAAATACGTTAGATAGGAGTACATTTTCGGTTTGTTGGAAGTTATTTTTGGTTAGCTAATGCTCCCTAGCCTAAGTTTAATTTACTGCGCTTGGCTCGATTTTATTTTCATCCTACCCTACCTAGCAGTACCCTATTTAAACTTAAATAGCCTATTTTTAACTTATGCCTAAGGAATTTATTTTATGAAATCAACTATCCTTTAAGGGTGTAAGAATTATTTAGGTGTAGGGCCTAACAATTGAGTTACGGTAGACTATTTAAGATATTTAACTTGTAACCTAACTTTTAATCTAGGCTTTGACTAAGGCTGACTGCATAGGTTTAAGAAAATGATTGTAGTAGGCTAAGTTAGGTATATTCCTATATAGGTAGGTTATTAAAAGTTGCAGATTTGAAACTGTGGCCAATGATTCACCTAAGTAAGGTTAAAAAGTGATATCGCATTAGGACATGCAGTAAAACATTAGGACTCCGTTCAAGTAAAAACCAAACTTTCAAAGAAAGCCCCATCAAGGCTATAGGCCTACTAACAAATGTACTAAGATTAAATCCAATGCAAATTTGTTAGGTAGGCCTAGTCTAAAAACTTATAACCGTAAGCCAAAGCCTGGCTAACTCATTTAGGTTAGTTTTCTATAAGTAACTTAACTACCGGTTTATATCTTAACCTAACTATAATCAGTTTAAAGAAAGACTAGATGTTGCAGAATTTTTATCGAACCTAATTTTTGATGTGTAACTCACATTGAAACTTAATAACTAAAGTAGGCCTAATGTTATTTTGAATTCCTTACCTTGGTTTGGGAGACAGCCTCTTCAATAACGATATTCTTTGGTGAAAGAAAACAAAAAAACTGAAGGTAAACTACCTAACAACAAAAATCTTAGGCTACTAATATAATATGGATACGATTATACACTATTACATTTTAATTTTAAATTGAAAGGACTAAGTTATACTTTTGCAAAGTCAAGAGGTTAGGCACAACAGCCAAGCAAAGATGGCGACGCCGATCTTTTGACAGTTGGAGTTGGAACGGAACAGAAAAATTAGTCCCCTCCCCTCCTCTGCCACGGACTGCACTGGACCCTGTCCCTGTCATTAGCTCTCAGCTCTCAGTCTGGCGCGAAAATTCTTTTAAATTTTAATCTTGCTCAATTTTTCAAAACAATACCTTTTATTTTGGTTGTAGAGATAATTATTCTAGGACACATACTTGTCCTATGTATGGGTATGTGGTAGTACTGTAGTAACTTTAATATTTTACAGGAAAAAATCACAAAAGTTGCAAAAAATATAAACCCTAATTTTCACAACACTAAGAGGTTGCACCATTTAAATTTAAATTATAAGGACCAAAATATACTAATTTTGATCAATATAGGTTGAAAAAACACAGTTTTCCTCTATTATATATAAAATAACATATCAGTTACAGTAGCTTTTAAACCACAATTTTACAGTAATAGGCGTTGTAAAATTTTTTTCAGAATTTAAAGGGCTCTAACATACTTGTTATTTATTAAAAATTTTTGGCCAATTTTTTTAAAATAAGATTTTGTTATTATTTCATGGGTTTTTATGGAAAAATCACCATTAAAAAACAAAATTTCAAAAAAGTTAAAACTTTGAAAACCCATGGTTTGGTACTTATTACTTGCTGAATTTCATCACAATCGGACAACACTTGTGGTCTGTAGCTCTGTACAGATTTGCTCATTCATTATGTATAAGTTAATCGTTATCAGTAATCTCCAATTTACCAAAGTGAATAACTTGTAAAAAAACAACAAACACATATAATTGTGTCTGAATTCTGGACCAGAGGCCATTATCAGCCAAGAACACTGCCAGTATCATCCAGTACCAGCAAAAACCTGGCCAGTATCAGAATCAGAATATAGTTTTATTGCCATAATAATACAAAAATGTACTGGGCATAAGTCACTAAAACTATCAAGTAAAACCAGACCCATTAAAATAAAGATACAAACTTCAATATCAGCCCAGTACTCGCCAGAACCTGGCCAGTATCAGCCCAGTACTCGCCAGAACCTGGCCAGTATCAGCCCAGTACCCTCCAGAACCTGTCCAGTATCATTCCAGAACCTGGCCAGTATCGCCCAGAACCTGGCCAGTATCGCCCAGAACCTGGCCAGTATCGCCCAGAACCTGGCCAGTCTCGCCCAGAACCTGGCCAGTACTTGTCAGTACTGTGGCAGAACTGGTCAGTTCTGTGACAGTACTGGCCAGAACCTGGACCAGAAAATTTTTTTCACTAGGGGTGATTAAACGTAGATTACTGCATTTTATCTGACAGTGTCACTAACAAAGTAGGCTTAAATATCGAGGAGGCTACTGAAGTAACTTAGCCTTAAGTCCCTAGATCTAAGTTACCTACACATTAAAATATCATGGTATAAAATATGGCATTAAGATAAGTCTAAAGCCGGGTTTTCCTGACGCGAAAGAGGAGCGCGGAGAGCGGAAAATCGATTAGCATGGCATTCCGCTCCGCTTCTAGGAAGACGAGGAGACAAGAGGAGTTCGCTCTCCCCGCCTAGAAAAACCCAGCTTTATAGAATAGTCTACAACGTAACTTAGGACCATTATGGCTAATCTAGGCTATAACTTACCATAGGCCTAGTCCTAGTCTATACTATAAACAGTGAAGACAATGCCTAAGTTAGACCAAACCACAATAAGTACCTATCTTACAAGGAGAACTTGATATCCAAGCTGGTTAAAAAAAATGTTTTTAGGCATACAAACAACTAAAAAAAAATTAAGTTAGGCCGATAAGTTGACAACAAATTATCGGTCATAGCCTATTTTAAACACACTTCGCCTCTAACCTTTTTATTTTTTTAGGCTAGGCTACTCATTGCACGTAGGCTGACCAACTCAAAAGTGGCTTGCTTTAGGCTTTAGGCTATACTTAGTTCTTTCAAAATTTTCACTGATTTTGAGTTTACTTAACTTAGTTTGTGCTAATAAGAACTTACCTTGATGGATAAGAAGAAATAGGCCTAGATGAAACTTAATAAAAACTCAGCTTCAACATAACTTGAACAACTCAGCACCACAATATCGATATTCTCAATGAGAGAGATTGAGAATTAATCACTCACAAATACAAATTAGTTACACAAAGACAAAGCAATAAAGCAATATGGCCGATGACATGGCGTCTTCAAGTGTCGGTCCCACCGTTAGCGTCGTTCCCGCTCGGAATTGTGGGTAACTTACACTCGACTCCAATTCGAATCCAACGTGATACTTAAAAGCTGTAATTTCAAGCCAACGTAAGCGTAATGGAAATGCATTGTGGGTAATATTACACTCGACTCGGGTTCGAATCTAATGTGATATTTCAAAGCTGTTAATACAAGCAAGTGCAAGCGTAATGGTAGTGTGTTGTGTATACTCGAATCCAGTTTGAATCTAATGTGACATTTCAAAGCTGTTAATTCAATCCACTGTAAGCGTAATTCAAGTGTGTTACACGAAGTTGACACTTGACTCGAGTTTGAATCTAAAGTGACAATTCAAAGCTGTCATTTCTAGTAAAAGCAAGCGTAATTCAAGGCTTGAATCAAGCTTACGTGCTATCTGGGTTTACCAACCTGGAAAGGCGATCTATCCTAGAGTTGATATCACTATCATAGCTCCTCCCACAGTTAGTGCAACAATGGGATCCTGCCTCTCTCTCCTCCACGGGTAACGACGGTACCACAGACGAAGTGGCAACTGCAGAACAAATCATCATCAGATAAACACACAAACTTTAAAAACTGCCAAGTGTGGTAAATGTAACAAAATTGCTGCAAACTTATGTGTAACGTTAACATTTGACAGTTGTCTAGGAATACTTGCACATTGATTGAAAAAAAAAACTCTAGGAGAAAGTAATTAAGAAATTTTACACAGACGCCTGACAATGCCCAATTTATCATAATGCTAGATAAGAGTTTTGCTCCTTATGAGCAAATAATAATTGGGATAAAGAACCATACCACCTTGTCTGTTATTTGGGATTTTTTAAAAGAAGGCTTACACTAAAATTAACGTTTAACACTGCATGTTGTGATTTTTAGTTTTTACGTCATGAATAGTAAAACAAAATTACAATTAATTACTAAAAACTACAAATAAACAAGCAAAATAAATGAAGTAAATAGAACAATTTTACAAATATTACATGCCTGCATTGTTTTAAAAGATTCAATAGCATACATGCTACAAATATGTATGACAAAACTCAATATTCTAAACTATAAGAATTTATTATACAGTGTCTAAATTAAGTCTTGAAACAAATCTGTATTTTTAAAACCGAAATAGATAGAAATATTCTGTTTGTAGCATTGATTCTTAACAAAGGTTCCGCAATTTTTACAAAATTTTTTTTTTTACCCCTTTAAAAGGGTAGGGGGCAGGGGGTGACTTATTTTTTTCAAATAGCAACCCCTATTGAGTGACCCCTCATTTTAAAGGACTTGTCAAAAGAAACGCAATGGCGCAAACTTGAAGTGAATATCTTACCCCTAGCCAAAATGGCAGGTATTCTAAAATGGGTGCTTTTTCACATAAATCAAATTTTGGAATACCCGCCATTTAGGCTAGGGATACAATATATAACTGAGGTTTGCGTTATTGTATTTCTTTTGACAAACCCTTCAAAATGAAGGGTCACTCAATAGGGGTTGTTATTAAAAAAATAAATCAACCCCACCCCCTACCCTGTTAAAGGGGTTAAAACATGTTGTTGGTGTAAAAAGTTGCGGAACCTATGTTAACAATCAATTCCACAAACAGAATGTTTCTATCTATTTCGGTTTAAAAATACAGATTTGTTTCCATATTTGTGAAATTGGTGCTTTTTCACATACAGTAAATCAAATTTTGGAATTTTTGGAATACCTGCAATTTTGGCTAGGGGTGAGATATCCACCTCGGGTTTGCGTCATTGTGTTTCTTTTGACAAATCCTTCAAAATGAGGGTTCACTCAATAGGGGTTGCTATTTGAAAAAAATAAGTCACCCCCTGCCCCCTACCCTGTCAGGGGGGTTAAAAAACATTTCTTATGTAAATTACGGAACCTCTGTTAACAATCAACGCCACAAACAGAATATTTCTATCTATTTCGGTTAAAAAAATACAGATTTGTTTCAAGACTTAATTTACACACTTTATACTCGTACTAGCTAAACTAATTCATAATAAATCAAAGCATAAAATTATGTTGTGTATTCTTGGATTATATTTTACGGAACTAGCTGTATCACACTAGTTATACATAATCCAAGAGTGTGATAAGAAACAATATAGTTTATTGGTACTGTAGGGGTATAAGAAGATATAGTTGAGTTTTATGGTGTGCAAATCATGAAGATGGACGTTTCAAACAACTTTGTACCTATTTATTTACTCTCGATTAACTTAAAACATCAATGTTTGTTGTGTATCTTCAGTTTTGTTGAAAAATCGAAAATAGGTACATTATGTACTTTTGTGGTTGTAAAAGTAAAATGTTTGTCTCTCTGCAAAATCAATATTCTTTTAAAAGCTAGATGAAGCAACTTGGAAAGTATTTTCATACTGCTTTATTGTGTTTTTATTGCAACCCATTAACCTTCTTCTATGTACTTGCTAAGAAATTTTTTGAATTTTAGAATTACAGAAACTATAATACATATTTTGTTGATTCAAGATCAAGTTAAAAACAGACTAAACATTTAATTGGTTAAAGAGGGCGTAAAACTAATTTTACAACAGTTTTTACAAACATAAACATACCAATAATTAAATATATTTCATTGAAAGGGAGGTCTCCAATACAAATACAGTTCTGTCCTTTCTATTTATTTGTGACATTCTGTTATATTTTAGATATACTTTTACAAGGAAAACTATTGCAATGGCAAAAAAAGCCTTTGGGTTTAGAATAAACACCTATAACCATCAGATTTTAAAAATATGGGATGGTAAGAAAAGAAGTATACAAAGATTATATATCTGAAGTAGCAGCTAAAAATACTGTTAGCTACTGTTTTATTATCATACATTCTAACAAAACAATTAATTGGTGGAACACAAAACATTTTGCCAGCAGAATTTGAATAGGAACCGTTACACACTAAGTCAGAAGCTTTGATGTCATGCTAGGTAAGATCAGACAGAATCAAAGAAGATAATACCTGACTCAATAACTACTGTTTCATTGACTTTTCATCAGAACAAAATACCAGTAACAACAACATTTGCAGGCAAGATTGAAAAGGTAGAACATAAATCTACAGAAAGGACTATAACCTTCAGAAGTCATGCAAGATAATATCTGAATTAACAAATACTCTTTAATTGATTTTGTATTAAAACAAGAAAAAGTGTAATGTACAATTTGGCTAGCAAAATTTGAAAAGGGCGAAACCAGAGAAGTTACTCACGGGGCCAGAACCTAGGGGGTTTTGGGGGGTGTTTGAAGCGGTGAGAGGTGAAGTGGTCAGTAACTCTGGTAGGGATAAAGTTTGTCTCACCTGCAGTAGACGAGTCCGGAGCCGTTATTGCCTGATGCAACGGACTCGGCAGCCCAGACTCTGACACTGAAAATGAGAGAGAATGTGAAAAAAGGAACTCATGAGCAGGAACACCATGTGTAGGGATGATTATCCTGGTAGTTGTATAATAGAGTGTGGTCAGTTTTAATTTATTGGTAAGTTTATCGGGTGATAACTTAACTGACTTACACTAACACAACCTAAAAGGCTGGCAACTTATTCAGGTAACTCTTCTTAACTAACTTGTAGAACTAACTTTTTGCCTCTTTTAAAATCCTAATGAATCTTTAATTAGGTTTATAAAGGCAGTCATATTAAGAACACAGAAAAGGTAGTTTTCTTAAGTTACAGTGAAATAAGCTAGTACAGCCATTAATTATAAAACAAAAATCAGTTTCTGTAACTATTGATAACTATAGTATTGATAGTTACCGTTTCTATAACTATTGATTGATTCTATAACTAATGAATTGTACTAGAGGATTTAAAAAAAACTTGGCTTTATAAGAAATCTAATTTGACTCTTATGAAAACTAGTCTGTAAAAATAATTACCTATGACAGTTTTTTTAATTAGCCATTTCAATTTAATTTTTAGAATTAAAAAAAATGTTTTCATAAAAAAAAGAAAAACTGAACCAAACAGTTTTCTAACCAAAAGTTGCAGGAAGGATTATTGAAAGATTTTGAAAATGTCAGATATGGTTCTAGTAAAATATACGACATAGAAGTAAGGGCTCAAACAATTTGTAATAATTTGTAACCACCCAAATCAAAGAAACGTTACAAAAAAATATATCAATAAAGCTTTTTACGACACTCGTAGAACTTTTTAATAACGTTTTTAAATATATACTTCTATATTTGTGTCGTTAAGACTATCTCTATGAGATCGTTGTGTAAAATACTATACTATTAGCATTTGAAACAAAAAATGTAGCCATAGTAATTTCCACTTTGTCGCCATCGCAATCCATCATCATTTACTTTCCAAAGCCACATTCATAACTTTGAAAGTTCAGCAGAGCTTAGGTCAATATTAAAACGGGAATATGACTGTAGTAAAGTTATAGTTTCCCCTGGTATATTTATACAGTCAAACACGTGATTAAAATAATTATAGGTGGATTATTAACAATTAATTATTTCTAAATTAATATTTCATAAAACATACGGAAAATGAAAACTGTACAATTACCTAGGCCTACCGTACTGGTCTCAAGAAGCCAAACAGGACTCTATACTGATTACAAAGAAAATTTAGAATCAACTGCATCATAATACCATTGCCTATTGGATACAGAAGTTGTTGTATTAATAGTCAAAGATAATACTTTGGGAGCTACAGAGGTCAGTTAAACCATTAAAAAAATTAATTTAAATCTTTATCTAGAACAGAATGAATTTAAGTTTGCTAAATAGATTGAGCTACCTAAAAAATTGTACATAAAATATAGAATATTGAAAGTTATGTTTCTTGAAGCTAAATGCAATCATAATCCATTAAAATAATAACTGCTTGATACACAACTTTATGCCATAACAATTTTGTTTTCATTTATTAGTCTTCCTAGGCTTCCCCTTAAACTTTGCAGCTTTGTTTCTCTCAGAAAAAAACCTTATCCTACCACTTCATAGAATGATCACATTGCCACTATTGTAAACAGTATGCAAAATATCTCAATTCCGCTTTATTTGTTCTCGTTTGCTTAATCAGCTGATTTTACTCTTGGCGTTTATATATAAGACTAATATCGGGTAAACAACATAGGTAGCCTAAAAAAGAAAATATAACTTTACAGTAAATGACATTTTATATACAACTACAAAGTTAATCTGTATGTCCTGTTAAGTTAATTATGGTGATAGGAAAAATCTTGTGTGTATTACGAGCTCAACAGTCATTGCCACTCTGGAAATGAATGGCTTGTGCAGCCATCTAAAACAATTCTCGAGTGGAAATGATGTACTCTTAATTTGCGCTCTTAATTAATACACAAATTTAATTAATACAAATTGGCATATATGTATCTATAATCCCACTTGGCTTATACGTAAACAAAATTTGCTCCCCATGTATTTACTATGGGAGTTAAATTTGGTCTCTCTTTTCCGAGTTCGTTTGGCTCTTCTACCCGGTTGGGCCAACGTTGGTAAATTGTGGAGCCACACAGTTGGCCAACGGTAGAAATGTCACCTCTTTAAACTGTTTTCCAGCCAACCATTGTCCAACCGTTTTATTTCACACAAAATAATAAAGATTTAGTACGAAAAGCATAATTATTAGTTGAGTAAATTGATTAAATAGTTCATAAAAACAAATTTTGAAAAAAAACTAGAACAAAATTTTTTTGGCCCAGACGGGTCTCGAACCCAGATTCTTCGACTTATGAGCCTCTTACTTTACCACTGAGCTATCTGTGATTGCTGATATAGAGAGTTTTCAAGTGGTGAAAGAGCAGCCGACAGTTGCAATGGTCGCAATACTTCAATTTTTGATACTACACAGTATAATATGATTCTGTTAATCTGTTAAGGCATCATAAGTAGTTTTTTTTTTTTTTGAGTTAGAGAGGATACTGGTATTTGAATGATTAATTAATTACCGTTAGATTGTTAATGCTATTATAATTGCCTGTTATATGATTAATTACTCTTTCCCCTTAAATTGTTGCAAATAAGTTAAAGAATATTAATTTAAAAAATATTTGCATTATTAAAATTCATTGTTGTAGCGCCGGAACTGTAATATATAAAATATCTGGTTTTACAATACCTTTATCAGTTCCAAAAACTTTTGGAAACTTTTGGAACTGATAAAGGTATTGTAAAACCAGATATTTTATTATAATTATGTTGTGAAAGCTAGACCCAGAGAATGAAAGTCGTGTAAACTCAACTATGGACCATTGTTGGTCCAACAAAAGTATCTTTTGTTGGTCCAACCGAGTGAAAAACGGTTGGACAACGGTTGGCTTGATGTATGATACCCAGCAATGCATATTAATGTATTTCATTAACAATAAACCAATGTTGGTCCACAGTTGTAAATATTGGTTGGCCCAACTACGAGATATACAGTTGGACAACGGTTGGTTGGTTGTGGAAGCTCCAACCAACCATCGACCAACTGTCCCACAGTTGGCCAACGTTGGCCCAACCATCTGTGCTACATGGGTAATCAGCTGATTTTACTTTTGGCGTTTATATAACACTAATATCGGGTAAACAACATAGGTAGCCTAAAAAAGCAAATATAACTTTACAGTAAATGACATTTTATATACAACTACAAAGTTAATCTGTATGTCCTGTTAAGTTAATTATGGTGATAGGAAAAATCTTGTGTGTATTACGAGCTCAACAGTCATTGCCACTCTGGAAATGAATGGCTTGTGCAGCCATCTAAAACAATTCTCGAGTGGAAATGATGTACTCTTAATTTGCGCTCTTAATTAATACACAAATTTAATTAATACAAATTGGCATATATGTATCTATAATCCCACTTGGCTTATACGTAAACAAAATTTGCTCCCCATGTATTTACTATGGGAGTTAAATTTGGTCTCTCTTTTCCGAGTTCGTTTGGCTCTTCTACCCGACCGATTTTCATGATTGAGGTCTCAAATTGAAGGTATGCACCCACAGATTTGCCATCAAGCATCGGCATATATGGATCTATAATCCCACTTGGCTTATAGGTAAACGAAATTTGCTCCCCATGTATTTTTATGGGAGTTAAATTTGGTTTCTCTTTGCCAAGTTCGTTTATGGCTCTTCTACCCGACCGATTTTCATGATTGAGGTCTCTAATTGAAGGTATGCACCCACAGATTTGCCATCAAGTATTGGCATATATGTATCTATAATCCCACACGGCTTATACGTAAACAAAATTTGCTCCCTATGTATTTCTTATGGAAGTTAAATTTGGTTTTTCTTTTCCGAGTTCGTTTGGCTCTTCTACCCGGCCAATTTTCACGATTGAGATCTCAAATTGAAGGTATACACCCACAGATTTGCCATCAAGCATCGGCATATATTTATCTTTATCCCACTCGGCTTATACGCCAAACCAAATTTGCTCCCTGTCAAGCTTTGGCGTATATTTACTTACTGTAATACTCGACCAAAAACATAATTTGATTCATTTTTGATTTCTTACTTAAATTTAAGATGTATTTCGCAAGTTATAATTATATAATCCTATATATTTTGGTCTAAGAACCTTCATTGAAATACCGGCTTTCATTTATTAATTATTCAAATTGGACGAGTTTCAAGCAAACGAGGGTTAACCACCAACATAAAAATTACTTTTCATAAGGTTTTTCAATGATTAAAAAAGAATAGCTCCAGTATTGTTCATGTTTTTGTTATATGTTTTATACTCAAAATAATCAATAAATTATAGGCTTTAATTTGAGTTATCGATCGTTTAAATCAGTTAAGTTCAAGATACTCTATTACTCAATCAAAAATTATAAATTTGGTTATATTTATTCATTTTAACGCTGCGGAGCAGCATGGGTCCTGTAGATTGCTTGATGGCAAATCTTTGGGTGCATACTTTCAATTTGAGACCTCAATCATGAAAATCGGTCGGGTAGAAGAGCCATACGAAGTCGGAAAAGAAAAACCAAATTTAACTCCCATAAGAAATACATGGGGAGCAAATTTCGTTTGCTTATAAGCCAAGTGGGATTATAGGTACATATATGCCGATGCTTGATGGCAAATCTGTGGGTGCATAACTTCAATTTGGGACCTCAATCATGAAAATCAGCCGGGTAGAAGAGTCAAACGAACTCGGAAAAGAAAAACCAAATTTGTTAAATATATAAGATAGCTATTTGTGTCAAATGGAACAAATGTTGACAGTCACAGACAACAAATGTATTGAAATTATAACTTTAGTTTTAGTTTTAGGTGAGAATTTTGAGTACAAATTCAAGGGGACAAACTGACATAATTCAAATTGCGTATATGTTTTAGCAATTATCAAAGCATGTTATTTCGGTACCATGAAAGCTTAACCCTATAAAACTAAAAACTGGTAGTTTTGCACAAGCTGCTGTCACGAACTATAGACACAGTCTTATTAAAAAACAACAGTTTGGATTTAACTGAAACAATATTTAGTAAACAATGTTGCTAAAAGTAACTAGTTGGTGTAGTAAGTAAGATAGAAGTATATTTGAATCACATGCATTCTACTTCAACAAAACCTGATTACCGGTATACCTTCTTACCCTCAACACTTAGAGGATTCGCTCTAATACACATATTACTATCTAATGCTTATATTCGATAGTTTTGTCTACTGAAAGTGTAGCTGTATGAATAGGTTTACCTACATTACCCCCTACTCAGTATGCTTGATTTATAAAATATGAGGAATTAGAGCTCAAACCTTTCAGGAGCTAATTATATGTTCCCTCTCCATCATGCATCTTTTTTAGGGGGTAGAGAAACTATGAGAATTCATAGTTTCTCTCCCCCCTAAAAAAGATCACAAAGCATCTTAATTGTTCGTGCATTATTATCTTTGAATTTTATTTGACTCTCAAAAACATTATATGTGGATATGAGGGATCCAAGAACGCTATTCTAATTTGTTCCCCTTAAATCAAGCCCTGTCCCTACCTCATTATTTATATTGCCTACACCAGTGGAATTCAGTATGAAACAAATTCAAAAGATTTAAAGTGGAAAAGAAAACAGTCCAAACCTCTAAACTGTTTTTGGCTAAGCCAGAGATAAATCCCATCCCTCTTGCTAGTCCGAGATAATAACCACTATATTACATCCAACTTATTTGATCATCAAGCCATTTTCCACACAAAAAGCATAGGCCTCTAAGCTGCTTGAGTTATGCGGTGTGCTGTATCATTAAAACACACACAATAGTAATACCAGTACCAGTGCTGGTACCACAACATTACCAGTACCGGTAACCAACATTGACACGTACTTGGGTCTTGATGCTCCAACAGGGGCTGGGTTTCTCTAGTGGTGGGGGTAGGAATGGTCCGCAAGTCCAGTCTAGAGGTTTTCATGTTGCTGGAACTTGAGGACCGTTTTATCCGGCTCTCGGACCGTCCTACAAGGCACAAGCAAGCATCCACACTACAGCATACAGGGTGGTAAAATGCAGCACGGTCTACCTTCAGGTAAAAACTACCTTAACCACTTGATTAGATCACAGTTGTTGAAATTGTGGAGTGAAGCAAAACTATTTTGTCTGTCAGAAGAATCAGAAACTAACATCACAGGGGCTGATAAAAAAAACAGCACTTTATTTTTAAACTTATTTTTAATTTTACAACTTGCTAGAAACTTCTACAGACACATCAATGTTTTAGTAGAATTTTGTTCTGAACCTTTAAATTAATTTGAGTTACTCAATCATATTTGTACTGTATGTAATTTCAAAATCTTAAAACATTTCTTGTGTTTCAATAATTGTGGTAGTTATTACCTTGAAGGTCTTAAATGTACATGAAAGGTGGAAAACTATTCTTGCAAAGTTGTTATAAAAGAGCAATTCAACATACAGGTATCCTTTCTCTAAAGGTTTGTTAAATTCTAAGGTAGTTGGGTCACTATAAAGTTCAAGACTTAGATGATGTTAGTCTTGTAAGGGTTCATTCCACTTATTCCACATAATGTTAGCTTTAAAAGGGGTTAAATGCTATTAGGTGGTAGGGGTAAAACAGGCAGCTTAAATACAGGTTCAAAAAGGTTTACTAAAAAATCAAGGACCACTGTAAGATTCACTGCAAGAATACAAAATACTTAAACTAAAATTTGAGGGAAGGAGATCATGAAAACATAAACCTCCAAATATATATATCTTTAGTTTTACTCAATGAATAAAATATAGAGTAAAGTCATTATCACACACAAAATTGCCGTTATAGTGCTTGGGAAGATTTGCACTCCTGTATTGGGGACAGGAGTCCAGGCAATCGTTGTGCCCCTCTCATTATGAGAGTTTGTTGAAATGTAGGAAACATAATATGTAACATTGTGTTAATATAATGTGAATAATTTTTCTTCAGTCAATCATATAGTTTACAAAAAACAGATTCAGAATTTTAAAAGATTGACATACTTACAAAAGGTTAATTTATAATAAAATAAGTAAGAATTGGAAAACATTAAGGAATAAAATCGATTGCTGTATACTATTAAAAAAACTTATTTCAATAAGAATTATCATGCACCCGTGACTGGTAGGATTTAATAAAAAGTTAAGAACCATGCTTAGGAAGGAGGATAAATTTCAACCATTTCCATTTCATTATCATGCTAAATTAATGCATTAGATAAAAGTTTCTATTTCATAGAGCTTATTAATTATTGAAGACACTCAATGTCGTACTTGCTTGGCATCAGTTACTTTCCAATGTTGTGGTTATGATTTGTTAGTGTATTATAAAATTTTGAAAGTTCTTCATTAAATGTAGAACTTCATTAACAGTCAACATGGTAGGGCGATAGATTCAGTGTTTGGGTCTTGTTGTAAATGTTGAACCAAAATGAATTGTAAAGAATGAACAATTAAGTCTTTTTTGTTACTACTTTATTAATTTATAATAAAATCAAGTTGTTCTAGTTATTAAAGGAATTAGCGCTTAACTAGAGGATAAAGGGATAATTTGTGTAGTGCTCTGCTTCATTTTAGTTAACATTTGTGTTATAATTTAATAAATAATATAAAATGGTACGTATAACATATAAAACTTATTGTTATCAATATGTCATGTTTCAGTATTTTATGCATAACCGTTATGATGAAGTTGTACTTTATAGTTTATAGGAACACTAAAAAACGATAAATGATGCAGGTATGGTCAAGATCCATGAAGTTCACACGAACAAGTATTTGTATGAAATACAAGATAATTTGAAGAGTTCCAGGTAAGCTGAATACTAATTATTTGAAATTCATTTCAGTAGCTAAATAAAGTTTTTAACAAAACTATTAGTTTTATAAGCCACACTCATTATACAGTGTTATAATTTCACGGTTAATGAGGTGAATGAACTTTTCCAGTGTAAAATGTAGAGCGTGTGAGCGAAGCAAATACGCACCTTGGTTAAGAGATTCCTCCTTGGAACCCTGCTTATTGCCGAACCCATGCAAACGTAGATCGGTCAGACTACGCTTCAGATGATCCAACATGCCTGATAGACAACACATCTACGTCTTGACTAACATCCAACACAGTAACCTACTTGTTTCATGTTCGGATGGCAAACCTGATTAGTTAAAGTCCTCTGTCTCTGGTCTTGACTTTGCAAGCTTTTTTTTTATAAAATTAGTGAAAAAGGACTTTTGCAGGTTTTTAATTTTTCGGTAGATATACAAACATTGAAATACAGGGTGTTTTTAAAAGAATGCCGGGATTTCAAACGGTCGTTGCTCAAGGACTATTCAAGATAATTAAACGATTTAAACGTCAAATTGAAGGGAAAAGAATAACGTTTTTTTCATTCTTTCATACAATTTGGAATGACTTAATAACATTCATGTTTTCATCCATCTTATATGAGCGTAAACCTGGCAAAGTCTGTACACTTAGGGCGATCGGCAAGTTGATCTGATGTCTTAACTTAATCTTTTTCGGCACAAAGACTCTATCTTTTATAGACAACAACATAGAGTGACCAATTTAGGCTTTTTAAACTGAAGACTTCGTTAGTCAAGCTAGTGCTGAAAAGATAAACTAGTGTGGAGAAGTGATTATTAAGGAAAGAACAAGTCCATTCCATTGAACAATATTGATGTGTCAATTTGCCATACGAACATGTAACGGAAAGTCTCTGCATGCTTTGGACATAAGAGGGTATAATTAAACTGGGTGAACTTTAATTAACTTAACAAAATAGTAACTTTCTAGTTTGGAAAGTGTGTGTATGAAAATAAAATGTTATTAAGTGTTGCTGTAAAGGTGAGTTCTAGGTGTGGATGTAAATCTGTTGTTTATTGCTAAGCAGAACATCGGGTAGTGTTGGTAAAGGATTTTTTTCAAATTAGAGTATTAATAGTAGTTGTAAACAAATAGTTATTCAATTACTAAGGTGGAGGAATCACGTTTTAACATACCAATTCATAATGTTCAATATAAACTACAAGTAAAACCAATTCTAATAAGAGTTGAAAGAGAATAATAATTTTAATGAAGATCCCAAGTTTGTGGTAAAATATTGACATTCAAATAACTACAATTTACCATAATTTTGTAATTTCTTCCCAAATATTTTCTATCTTTTATGCTTATTTAACTATCTTATTCTTAATATTTATCTGTATATAGGCTATTGTTGAATGTATACAATGCATTTGGTATTGAAAATGTTCAACATACCCCAGGTATTTGTTATAGTCTATGAATATATTAAACCATTTTAGTAAAACAAACACCACACAGAAAACATTTTGCTGAGCAACATGCATAAACATTGCTTAGCAAAACTCTTTTAAAACAATGCAAATCATGCAGTTTAATTAAAATAATAAGAACTTACATGTCACCAATAGATAAAAAATTATTGCAACAATTTAGTGCTCAATCATTGAAATGAACTATTTAGGGACTAGGGAGTCAGAGTTAGTTAGTTAGTGACCAATGATATTAAATATTCGATAATAAAATAAAAGATGAGAAATCTCTGTCAAGAAAATTATGTAAAGGATTATTTTAAGGGAATTACACAAAAAAATACATAAAAACAAATAAACAGCTAGACACAGATTGAAATTATTAATTGAAATTAATAACACAGAAATTATTAAGTATTAAAATTCATGAAGACTATGGTAGAACAGGGTTAGCAATAAACACTTTAGAAAAGAAGCAAATTTAACAGAAAAGTAAAATTGTTGATTGTAGAAGAAGATTTGTTTACACTTGCCCCTATACTACACCACTGGTGTATGAAGACTAAGAGTATTGCATAGATGCATATATTTGTAACAGATGAAAACAAACTATAATATCATTATCACAGCACACTTGACAAAACCGACTTTGCAATAACAAACGTAAGAACTTCAAAGTGCAAAAACTATTAAATAAAACCTTTGAGATATAAACAATATGGAACAAACCAGTGATGGAGTTTAAAGTCGTAGATCTTTGGTTATTTTCACCAAACTGGAGGTTCATGGGGGTAACATCTTGGCCTGCTTTGTCAGTAGAAAATTCCAAAATTCCATGACCACTGCATTTTTCACTGTAAAATTAAATTTATTTTAATAAGTAATTTGAAGTTTATTTGTGTGTACAGGTAACTTAACGGGTACAAGGTTTCAGGAAAAAAGAGGACAAGGGATTTTAATCCATAAACAAAATGAAAATTTATTAATTATATACTAATACATATACTGTAGTATATATAATATATTGGGCAATATTAGTTAATTATTTTTACAATTTTCTATACCGGTAGTTCAATATTAAATTTGAGGGGTGGTTTGAAGATGCCACTCTTCAATACATTCTCTGAAGAAGTATGTGAGGAGGAAATCCCAGTGTTGGCTTTTGTGAGCTTTTATCCAATATATATGTTGTCGTGAGTAGCTTTTATATCCAAGCTATTTAGATTGACAAAGTTTAAACAAAACAAGTTGTGAAAGATGAAATGTTTTACTTACTGGTGTTCAGAGCCCTCATCACTGGAACCTGCTCGGAATGAGTGAGTGCTTTCAAAGCTGGACTGGTTCAGTTTGGATGCCCCTGGTGGCCGGAATGTGAACCTTCGCACGTCTATATCCAGTCCCCCTAACACTGCTGTCTCTCCACCCCCTCCCCCAGGATCCTGCGAGTTGGAGCGGGAATGAACATGTCGTCTGCTAATACGTCCGGCCCTCGGGTCAACACCTGCCTGCTCCTCCTGGACAAGAGTAAAACTTTACTTCCATCCCAAAGCAGAACATTACAAACTTTCTGCGACTTGGAAAAATCCAAAAGTTTTCTGCAGGCTTACACGGTCCAAGTTGCGTCTAAATGAACCGCGGGTGTGAGTTTTGATGAATGTTTGGAAATAAAAAAGTTTTCAAACGTATTGTGAATCACTTTGGTAATTCGGTTATTCTATGCGTTCTTCCTCAACATCGATGCACCAAATATTGACGTCGCAACTTTCGTTTATGAAATGCATGCATGACGTTTTGTAGCGTTACTGTTTGCAAAACGGAATATTTTTCTGCAGAAAATAAAGTTATCGACTTTCTGCAGGAGAAATATTTTCAGCAAAAAAACAATTTCACTAACTTGTTATGTAAAATTTTCTACAGAAACTTATACAGGTTAAGAAAGGGCCCCCCTAACTTTGGCAGTAAATATAAATAATAAAAAAAATTAAAATAAAAAAACAACTAGTTGGGCATTCTGCAGCCCTCCTCCTCTTTCTGCGAATATGTCACATTGTCGTCTGTAGTTCTGCTTTGGGGCTTCCATTTTTTACTTTTGAATCCTAAAGACGTCCCATTCTATGTAGATATTGTGGACCAGCAGTTGCCAATTTTTCATTAAAAAGATCATAGTTGAATGAGCTTGTCACAAAGTGTACAGATTATATATACTCTCATAGTTTCTCATACGGTACCTTGATAGTTGATGTGCCATAAAAGGTTTGGTGTTTACAATAGAACTGTTGGTGCCTCAATTTAACTATGTTAATTTTCGTTCCTAAACTGTATACATATTTAACAATGGGATTAGAATATCTAGACCTACTAGGTATTCTTTACATTCAAAGGTTTCACACATTTGCGAGTTTATTGCTGTACATTAAATTAGTGATTTGTCAATAATACTATCAGTGAGCACAACTGGAAATCGATATAGTGTTTCTCACAGTGGATTGGTATGCTAATCATAGTTTATTAAAATAACGGTGCATAATATGTAAAACCTAATATATGGATGGTGTGGTATTAGTAGAATTTTCATTAGCAATAGAAAGGTAATATCAAAGTGTTAAGTATATCTTATTCCACTACACACTGATGAGATATGTTTAACTCACATCTCTCATGTAGAACGTTATCTCTAGATTGTTTGAGAAGCTTTGATAGAACTCCGGATAGAGATCTAGGACATCCAGGAGGTCATCTCTGTGTATCTTGTGGAGGTCGCAGTAGGTCAGGGCTCGGACATTACAGCTGGACTTGCCTATAGTGGGGTGGGCACAAGGGTTCTCACCAAAAATGTCGTCCTTACCTATACAAATAGAAGTTAACTGTTTGCAGGGTATTACAAGCGTGAAAAATATAATAATTCTTTGTAGAAAAATTGGACTAGGAATACTTTACTCACAAAAAAAAAGAGTTCCAGCAGTTGACAGTGCACAACAAGCTCACAACACAAACAATTTGATATTTTGCCCCTAAGCTATTCAGAATAAAGTAATAGAACTATTACTACATTTGGGGCTGTTTCAAAACTATTCCAACTCAGTTTAAAGAAAGCCAGTTTTGTGTAAGCTGGAATAAATTGAAGGTGGTATGGAAATTAAAATCACTATTTGAAGATTTTTTGTATTTTCATTCAGAGTTTCAGTTTATAGGGTAAAAGAGCACAATTAGCTTGAAAATCTTGAATAATTAAGCTTGATTTTTAAACATTTTAATGTAAGTTGCCGTCTAGTAGTTTTTAAGACACTCAAAAACTCTCCAAAGTATACTATTAGTGAGTTATAATTTAAGATTTTAAAACAGTGAATTTAGTGTAGAAACCTTGATCTCTGTGTTGCCACTAGTCAATGAAAAGCACCAACACTAAACCAATTCAGAAACTCACAAATATATTTTTTAATAAAAAAAGTATACTCTTTTGTATATTTAGCATCAGAGGAAAGAAACCCTTGAATAATATACCAGGTACATTTTTATGAACAGAAAGAACTTACTTAGTATTGCCATAACCACGTCATCCTTAAGGATCTCAATGGAGCCTCTGGAGATGAAGTAGAGACAAGTAAGGACATCCCCTTTGTGGACCAAAGTATCGCCAGGAGGGGCGTGAGTTGTCTTAAACTTTAGAGATAACGCTCTGGAAACAAACATACATTCTGTGAAATCCCCGCAAGTCTAAGAGGACTAAACGTATAACTAATAAACTAAGAAAATCTGTTCTAAAACATATTAGGAGGAAACATCAGTGTTATTTTATGTAGCCTTTTATTCTGCAACTATAAGCTCCTGGATTAAAATTTTATCTGGTACCGGTATGCTAGCTAAGCTCTATCATAAAAAAATAGTATATTTCATTACTAGGACCGAAAGTGGCATTTTCCGTCGCGCGCTCAAGTTTTTGTGTGAGGCGAAGCCGAACACAGGGAACCCCAATTTCACGTGCGAGGCGAAGCCGAGTATGTTAGAGCTAGTTTCACGTACGAGGCGAAGCCGAGGACGGGAATAATGGAGCAAGTGCCGGATAATAACTTTCGGTACGAGTTATGAACGATACTTTTCATCACGACGCAAAAATACAAAAACTCAGTAATATTACAACTATTTTATTTCTCAATTAATTTGATTGAACATCAAAATAAAACAAAATCTTCTAAAAGAAAACATATGTATATTTCTCAATAAATTTTGTTTAAACATGAAACTTATAGAATAAAACATCTTTTAAGAATACATACAGCTGATTCAAATCATTAAATTAAACCATAACAAAACACTAGCGCGCGTAGAGAATAAATGGAGAACTAATTGAGAGCGAGGGAAAGTAAATTTAGAGCGAGGGAAAATCAACTGATCGATTTTCCCTCGCCCTAAATTAGAGCTCGGGAAACGACTACTTTCATTGATGTTAGCTGTTATCGAAAATAGTTACTTTCGTTACGGAGTGATGAAAAAATTTTTACAAGGCACTTAGATAAAAAAAATATCTTAACCTTAACTATGTCGTTCTACATATTTTGCCTCCAATACATCAATGCTTGTGTTAATAGAGAATCGTTGTATAAATTGTCTTGCCTCTATAACTTCTAGGTGTGCACAGGAAGAGTTAGCTATTTAAAATAATTTTTTTACTCATGCAAAGAATGGACATACACTTAACTATTTCTGACATTTTTTTATTCATTTGAGTTTACCAATTTAGGAGGAAAATACGCAACAAAGAACTAAGAGAACTTTGTAAGAATTCAGATGTAGTGTGTGAGAATGAATGCAAAAGGTTAAGATAGGTTGGGCATTTATTGAAAGGAACGGATGACGGTAATCTCAAACAAGCAATGAAAACTAATCTTGAAGGGAGACTACTGAGAGGAAGGCTACAGCCAAATGGTAGAGCCACGTGACGGTTGATATGGAGAGAATAGGAGCAACTGAGGAAAACTCTGATTGAGAGGTACAAGGGCTTTGTTGGTACAACCTAATCTCTACTACAATATGTGCCTTGGGGGAAGTAAGTAAGTGAAGATTACCTCAGGCACCCAGGAGAAGCACCGTCAAAAGCAGAACAATTGGTGAGCAAATTACGATTGAGATGGAGGCAAATATCAGCCTGAAGGCACTCCGGAAATCCTTTCAGTACACTGTTCATGTCAATTCCATTTGTGTACGTCCAGGCATGCTGAAATAGACATACATTTGAGATTACTGAACAAGAATCAGAATCAGACTAGAAAATGGATCTTCACACAAGGAAATTACTAAATTCAAGTAGGTATTCAAAATGTAAAGTTTAATGTTTGCAAAGAATTGTAATACTTTAAAAAACTATATTTGTCCTACTTTTACATCCTTAGACGCCAGGCTCTAATCAGGAGCCATTTTACACATTACTTCAGGACAAACCTAGAAGGTAGCAGTAGATAAAATCTTCAAGGACCAAAGCCCTACGTTCTACCACTTGACCAGCTTACTCCCTGTTCATCCATACATAAGTAAAAAACTTGCAAGTTAACACTCTCTCAAAAAACTAGACAAACTTTGTATTCAAAGACAATAAAAAAATATATTACAAATCTATACTTATGAGGGATTCTGATAGGGGCATTAATTGATTAAATGAATATTAGTGAGGGTAGCATTCAATGTGTGGAAGCTCATTATCTTTACCTGAAAGTATTCTTCCAGCCTTTGTCGCAGAGGATTTGGAATCTGATGGAACCTGATGAACTCTCTGACTCTCAGCATTTGAGTGTGATACCTCGCAGTTCCAGAATATAGCCTCTGAATGATTGCCGAAACATTCCCAAATATGCTAGCATACATCAGTGCTGAAACCAACATTTCATAAAAAAAATAAAATAAAGCTTTAAAATTAGTGTAAAAGATCCTAGAATTTATATAAAGTTAGTCGAGACACCCCATGGTTAAAATGTTTTATGTTTCCTTTTATATATATTTTTTTAAATTTTTTATTTAATTGGTGGTAGAATTCACCATGTGTGCAATTTGTTTGAGAACTGAGGAATTTTTATGTCATGATTTCACTTATTTACTGGTTTACAATTCTCTATAAATATACAATTTTACAGTTAGAATGCTTAGAGAACATACCAATGTGGTGATCTCAAGCCTTGTTCACAAGGGGTGAGTTTACACACTGGCTTTTTTACATGCAGCTCGTAAAATAGCTCAGTGTAAATGACAAACTTACTCAAAAGCTGCTTTTAAAAAAGCTCTGGAAAAAGCTGACTCTGCGGCTATTTTTTTACACGCCTACTCGCCAGCTTTTGACCAAGCTAGCGTGTAAGTAGCCCAGTGTGAGCACAGTTGCTTGTGCTTGTGCGCATCTTATTCGAAGACGATAGAGGAGTTGGCTCTAGCGGGAGTTATAGTTGTTGTAAAAGTGATTAAAATGAATTGATTAGACAATTCTCAGCAAGATGAGAAACGGAAAAGGAGGAAAGTGTGAGAGTGAGTAGGAAGACTTACGGATTATGGTGCATCAAAAACATTAATTTATTTTGGAATTTCAGCTGTTTTTCAACCATGTTCTCTTATTTTTCTCCATCATTAGCTGTTTAATAAACATATCCCTCAACGGTTTATTGGCATAGTTTTTAACTTTAATGTGTTGTGTGTTTTAGGCTGGGTACTTTTGGTACCTTCACTTCTAAGAACACCAATACGTTCCCAGAGAGTCCATTTCATTTTAAATGTACGCAAACACCAACACAACTAGCAAGATTTCACAATTATTAAAACACAAACAAGTTGTCTGGAAGCCAGCTACTGAGTGAGTGGAAAAAGGATCATGTGAACGAATACAAGCACACTCGCCGCCTCCCGGCTTGCCGGCTTCTTACATACTGGCATGTAGTTGTAAACTTGCCCCGTGCGAACAGGGCTATAAATACTGTGATTGTTTGTCTAGTGGACAATGTTAAAGGATCTTGCTTACTTTTTTGGAAATTTTTATTTTCTTGGCTTTATTGTGTGATCTAAACGTTTTGTTCTTTTAATCTATCGTGTATCACAGCATTACTTGGTTTGGGAACTTAGCTTGCATTATATTCCCTCCCGCCCATAGACAGGATTAGAATTTAGATCCCAGATTATGTCAAACTTGTGCTTTACTAAGCAGTGACAGAAAATGTTTACATTTAAATCTTTAAAACAATTTGGTTTACCTTCCTAACAATACATTGAACTGCAGGAATACTGTATCGTACTCACATCCTACCAACATGACGCAAATTGTAAAAACTTTCTCTGCATCTGTGTTCGGGGCAACATTCCCAAAACCTACTGAAGTCAGCGACGAGAACGTGAAGTAGAGGGCTGTGATGTATCTTGACTGTAACAGACGGAAACAACAAGATGTGAATGGCTACTAAAAAGATGAAAATAATTTTCTAAGAGTTTAGGAGTCCTGCTGGATCTAAAATTCTTAAGAATGAAATAATCACTGTATATTTAAACTCTTCGTCACTTGAATGATTATAATTTAAACAATAATGATCATTTTATTAGGACAACATTAAGCCTTGTTATTGTTACTTTATGTCTTCTTGGCTTCTTATCTTCTTTCCTTTTGTGTAAAACAGAGTTTAAGGAAAAGGAACACAATTACGATTGGTATATTTCTTCAAATTGTTGGTAGGCCTAGCCCGCAATAGTCATTCCTAATTTTATTCCACTCATTTCTAAGATGCTATCTTTGACTATTGATACAACTAGACATTCCATTCTCATGTTAAAGTTGTTGCCAGTTTTTTAAATCGTTGTATATGATGTTTTAATCATCCTAGTTGATGTGAGCCACCGACGGATTACGCTGATTTAAATTACTGATTTCTGTTGAATAAAAGGACTTTTTACAAAGTCAAATTGGTGGAACAACTTATTGTGAGCTATAGCAACTATTAAGACCCGTCATCTATGTCAGCAACAAAATATATGGTAGAAAATAGAATTTTAGTGTATTCTGTGACTGCTCACACTTTACTACAGTATGTTCTTTTTCAATAAAAAATTGGCTACAGCTGGTCCATATAGATGGGATGCCGACTTTAGTATCCTATAGTCAATGACCGTAGGCTCTAACCCGGGATTGTTTATCACATTACTTCAGGCTAGGCCTAGGGGATGCGGGATTATCACTTAGATAAAATCCATCGGTGATGGGCAGGACAAGAACCCGGGACCTCAGGGACCAAAGTCCAGCGCACTATCAGTAGACCAGATCGCTCCCCCGCCATTCCTCCACTATCACCTCTAAACTATGATATGTTATATGGTACCTTTATTGATGGTCCGCCAGTGTTATTATGTAGGTAGAACTGGTGAGTGTCATTAGCAAGAATGTCGAGCCAGCCGACCTTGCTCTGTAGATGAGGCCTCTCTGCATTGCCTATAGCATACCTGGAGACAGTTTAAAATAATATACAATATGTGAAAAGCATTCAAACCAAGAAATAGAGTTGGAACGGGTAGGAAATACCACGCAAGGGGAAGATAAGATTTATACACGGTGAAAGAAGCATTAGAAGCACAAGATTGGGAAGGCCAAGGTGTTTAAAACGACTTAGATCATGAAGTTAAGCTGCCTACCAAGTGAGATGGGGAGAAAAAATAGAGGCCCTACACTTCAGGAGGAGCCAATGGGGAAGTAAAGTAGACAAATGTTTTCAGGATAACTAACCAGCTTTATAAGTATTTACAGTATTTTATTTCCAAAAGGTAGAGCAAACATTTCACAAAATATAAGTAACTTCTTGATCAGCATTGTACGTGTTATTAAATTTACGGAAAGTAAATAAAAGAAACGTCTTATAACACTTAAAACATATATTTACGCTTATACTGTTACTCACAACACGGTAAAAATATACACAAAAGATGGTAAGTATAGTGATCGATTTCGATTGGACACTCCAATCATCACCATGGAGCTACCCAATAGGCGAATTTACTTTCGGTAAAATATAAGTGTGAGTGATGAGCCTGATGACTTGTACGTGATCTAAAGTAACTGAATGACGAGAGAGGTTCCAAACAAGATCCAAGCGATCAAACTCTTGTTTAAGAAAGATTGAGTATTGTGATGTCAACTTTTTAAATCTACCTAAAGGCCATAGATACATTTTTGATTGATCTAATTTAAAATCTTCGGTGGAGGTCTGATCAAATCCTAAGCCAAGCAACAAGATAAAGCAATGAATCCGTTGCAATATTTAAACAGATTCAAGATCAAGTGTATCCATACCTGAACCACTTTTGACTCACCATATACAAGCTAGCCAATGAGCAATGAGAGCAAATGTAGCCATGAGTAGTAGCAGCACTGCGGCACCATACTCAGAGTAGCGATCAATCTTGCGAGCAACTCTCACAAGCCTTAGCAGGCGAGCAGTTTTCAGCAGACCGATCAATGTTGTTGTCTGCAACCAGCAACCAAGTGTAAACCAATTTAAATGAGGAGAAAAGTTTGACTATAGAGTAACATGCTGCAGCATGAAGTAAATCTGTTGTGACAGAGTGTGTTTAAGTCTTAGTGTAAACTTGTTGAGTAAAAGTGTATTGTCTGAATGAGCGAGTGATGCAACTGTTGCTCCACTACAGTAATATGTTGCTTAAAGCTACTGTCGCTTCAGACACTAGTCTTTAAGCTGGGCGCCCACTGTAACCATCACAGATAGGACCGTCCACTTTGGCTCAATCCAGCCTCCGCAGATGTCTATCCTAGAAGCGACCCAGGAAATCCCATCAGGTGGGGAATACTGTGTGGCTATCTATTTTCTTACAAGATTTAGGGCTTGAACTGTTACTACTTGCTATACGGTGTGATTTGTTACTGTTCCCTTTTGAATATGTCTCAATATACAAATGAAAAGTTAATAGAGACAGTGCTTTTATATCAACATTTATCTAATATGTCGGATAGAAACTTGACATTTTATCACAAAGACAAATCACGAACACTACACACACTATAGACATGTGAACAATACTGGCTGTAGTTTGTGACTGAAATGCTAGGAGTTTCTTGTGCTGGAGACGGTATGCATCTAATGCAGTGGTGTGCATTTTTATAAACACGAGTGCTTTCTTATTCTTACCTTTTGAGAATAAGACTGTGGTAGACGTTAAAGGCAAAACAATTAAAACATTCTCGATTGCAATAGAGCAACAGTCTAATCAATAATCAATTATTGAGATGGAGACGACACCTAGGTATTTTAACCCAATATATGAGTGAATGGAGTGTAGAATGGAGTGAGATGATCTGTGCAGCTTTGTTACTGACTACAAGATACAGTAAGACCACCTGTTTCATTAGTAAGGTCAATTTATTAAAGCCCAATGATCAAGGACAACTGGGTCCAACATAAACATAAAAAAGTTTTCTCATGGTCAAACCGGCAACCTTATGATTACTAGGTGACCATTATAACTGCCGAGCAACACAGATTTTTTAAATTTACATTTAACAGTTTACTGGATGTATTTGCTAGCCAAGGAAATGAGTTTTCAAATTTAAAACTTTGTGGTTTCTGAAGAACATTTAAGATCCACGTCCTATACTCTTAAAGGTTTAAAAATGTACCCTTATAGGCGTAATTTAAATACCTGAGAATTTGAAATTGATCAAACTTATTTTTAAATGTTTCCTTTTACAGTAGTGGAAGGAAGATGTTGGTTGTAGTGTGTTATACAGCACACAGGTTTCAATTTTTCCTTTGAGACTTGTTAAATTGATTGCCCTGCCCAAAGGAGATTTTGATGAGGTACTTCAGATACAAATCATAATTATTATTTGTGCGTTTGTTTGTTTGTGGGTGTATTAAGTAAATGTAAAAAAAAAATAGAACAACAGAATAACAGAAAAACAAGTTATGTGATAATAACTTGTTTTTCTGTTATTGTGTATTACTATTTTTTCTTGGTAAAAACAGACACTTAATGAAAAATGCTTGTTGGAATTAAAAAGTAAATAATAAGTAAGTAAATTGTTTGGACAGTTTATAAAAAGCAATTTTTGGTAGTATGTATATTTTGGAGTTTTGTCATATTCAAAAAACAAATTCAAATGTATGTAAATAAAAATATATGTTGCTGAAATGTTCTGAGACAAAACCAAACTACACATGCAGACATTATAGTGAACCTTAAATAGGTACCTGTTAATGTTCCTTTTATTCCTTCAGGTACACGATTTTAATGTTTAAAATTGTACGTTCTAATGTGATGAAGAGGAATCTAAGGTAAGATTATAGTGATTATAATAATTTAAGCAAATCACCTTACAGGAAAAGTGTAGGCTATATATTTTAAATCCTCTAAATATAAATAATGTGATTGTAGTGCAATGTAAACGGTGCAAATGTGGTTAAAAAAGTATAACTATAAAACATAAAACACAGAACAGCCATATTATCACCAACATTTTTATCAAAAGGCTCCTGTAACTTAAGCTTGGTCTTGCTGTAGCTGCACAAGTTAAATTTCAATCACAGCACTTAACTTAGAAATCTTATTTTTTTATTTCTAAAATAATTATTAATTGAAGTTATTTTTTATCTTGACATAATCCTGCTGGTTAACAATCAATGTGAGTTGCATTACTTCTCCATTAAAACCATAACACATTTACTGTAACATATGAATAACAAAACACTGAAACAATTGCAAAGAATAGACACATAACATTAACACGATCTACTGTACTTCAAAGTTTACTTTTTACCTTTACTATTTCTTGAAGCAAATTAGTTTTGATATAACCTATTTTGAGCAGCCCACTGTCTTCTTTAGTTGCTCATTGAGTCTTATTCAAATTATGTTTAATTTAAATTTCATCTGCAATCTGCATTAAAAAGCAAAGCGAAAGCACCTAGTTATGTCCTACATTGTATTACTTTCTACTATTTCATTACATAGTCTACTTTATTACCTTACCATTAAAACTAATACAAAGTTATTTGATAGTTTTGAAGCATGTTAACAGATCAGTGTAAAAAACAGGTTAGTTGGGATGAATGAACTGGAAATTTGAATGGTAAAACTCCTTATAGTCCAGTCAGTCTGGGGTTTTTAGACAAAAAAAATACTAACAGGCTGGATTTTTTCCCATCGACTACTACCATGTAGACAAGTCTCCAGCCAAAAGTCCCCACCCCTAGCCCTGTTGCTTTTTTCCCTAGAGCCCTCTAAATTTTTTAAGGGTGGATAAATGCAGTACTTTATAAAATCGCTTATATTTCAGTAACTATTTCAGATAGACCTTACATCTTGTTGTTTTTAGATCCCTAAATTTACGGCCTAAGAACACGTTCTGTAGGATTTGTGATTAATTTACTAGTTTAATAGTTATTTCCATCTTTAATGCTAGAAAAAACAAAATGACTCCATTTTATTCCGAATATTTAAGAGATATAGCTCCAATAATAATCATTAGTAAAGAGTTTTTATTTCAACATATTCTTCATTTAATAAGCTTTAAAATGATATATAACTTGGCATAACTAGCACTTACTATGCCCTTTAATTACCCATTTGAAGTACAGTAAGCACCGCCGACTGCCGTGAACGCGCGCCCCGTCCCGCCCGCTTGCGCCGCCGCCGCGCCGCGACGCGATACCGACAAGGGCTCGGGACTAGGCATGCCTCCGTTCACATAATAGATGATTTATTTTTTTAAACGATCTTCATATCACATAAAAACAAACATATTATTATTTCTCATATTAATTAATTAGGAAAATTAAAAAGAAACTAATATAACTAAATTAATTAGTAATTGCATATAAAGCATTGAGCCGAGTAAATACTGCATAGTATATGTGTGGTAAATAATAACTTATTATATGACAAAAATAATATAAATTTAAAATGTGAACACAAATTTAACTTATGTAAATAAACATAAACGGTGTACACAACTGTCATAATAATATCACAAACATGCCTTATGTTTTATAAATTGCAAACCTACTCCTCTTTATTAACGGGTTTCATAAATATAAACTTACCTAAAATAGATAATAAAATTTCAATAAAGTTACAATAAGATGTATTTAGGTTCTATAGCTATCTCAACAATCTCATTTAGCTATGACAGTGAAATTATATTTTGGTTTAGGTTTTTATAGATGGGCTAGGTTTTAAATAACAATTTTGATAGCAACGATCTTAATCTAGGGGTTGGTTCGTGCCGGGTATGAATTCTGATAGGCTAATTAACTTAATTTATAGGTACTAATGTAGGCTAACTAATATGAGATTATAATGAGAGTCAAAAATTTAGGATATAAGTTCTTAGTTTGAAAACAGTCACTTGAATTTAGTCAATTCACAATGGTGTGATGGTAATTGGAAATTGATGATGCGTTTTTAAATGTTTATTGAAGCTGATATTACCAATTTTTGTTGAAAAGGTAGTTATTATCTTCTTTCTTAATGTCTCTTTGTATTCAATATTTATATATATTCTGAATGTTAATTTTTACTTTTAAATATTTAAATCACTGGAGACTTGGCTCCCACATCCATCTCTCTCTATATCTTCCACCACAAGCATTTTTCTTCCTTTGTTTTTTTAGCTTTCCTTCCAACAATGCTACTTCACACCTGGACACTGGACAGTACAAAAGAAATATTTCCTACCTAGACACTATTTCATTTTAGAATATTATTTTTCAATACAGTTTTTCTTCTTCACTAATTTATATTTAATTAAATTTAAATATTCTTTTTGAAAATACAGTAATTAAAAAATATTGAAAGTAATTTAGTTAACATTCATATTTGAATACATTCATGTTTTATCTCAAAATCCTTATGTTTTCCCCTTTTGTGTGCCCTTTTAGTAAAATAAATAATACAGTTACTGTTTTAGTAAACAATAGAACAATGGCAAATCATGTTTTCTACGATCACTTATTTATTTTTCCATTTCACTTAGAACCTTTTATTTCGATTTTCATAGTTGGTGTTCCTGTAACCGATTTGGGTTGGCACACCTGTACAGCATAAGCAAGCCCGTAGGAATTGGCAACTATAAGTGCAAACGTTGGTGCAAACAGTGCTTTCATGTTCCTTCTGTCACAAGATCGAGAGAGCTCTTCACTAGAGCTGACCTTGGTGCATACCTTAGATCCATATTCATTAAAAATGAATATTACATGTTTTTTTTATATACAAGTTGTTTTGTTCTCCAATATCAATTGTTAAAACTAGGTAAATAATAATTTATTTTTGTTCCTTATTGTTTACTTATTTCTTGGAATGTTTCTTGTATCCTTGGTCTTGTTCCAGGATTGTTAAATTGTAAATAATACAAATAATATGATGAAAGAGGTAGTATTTAAAAATAGGTTGCCCTAGAGCAATAAATATTTTTATGTAAAGTGAACGAGCAGTGTGAACCTAGTCCCGAGCA